GCCATGATGCATTATGTAAACCAACTTCAGGCTCATTCCTCCTCATTCCCACAAGAGCATCATTTGAATTACAGAACTGATTACTCACTGGATAATCACCTTCCAATCAATCTCGCACTGCATGGGATTATCACTAATGACTCACCCTAACCTGGGGAGGCTTGCAGGATTCAGCAATGTTGCCTTTAAAATCTTTGGTGTATTTTTGGTAAGAAATACACAAAACATATAAATAAACACATACATATATACATACATACACCCTCACACCCCCACCCACAAATACATACATACATACATACACACACACACACACACACACACACACACACACACACACACACACACACACACACACACACACACACACACACACACACACACAAAAGCAGACCTAGATACATAAGAAACTATTGGAAAAGGGAGGTGGATATATACTGGAGACAATTAACTTATTTATCTACCTATTCGCAACGTATCCCCTGAATCAGTCTTACTAATAATGATAGCTACTGAAAATGTCTTTTCCAGTCTTGACTTCACCTAGTACTATCCACTAAAACCAAAAAAACAAGAGTAGATTACAATATATTTAGAATTACAAAGCTTATAAGAGGAGTTAAAATAACAATTCTTAGCTACAAGATCCAAGTAAAATACAGCGAGGGTCAGCAGACCATGAATTTTAACTTCTGTCTATACAAACTCCTTTATCTTTGCTAAGAAATCCTCAGTAGGCCTTCAAAATATCTGTAGCATGATCAAATAAAGGATAAGAGTATTTAGATACTTGTCAGCCTTCCTGGCAATCTTTTGTAAAATTAGGAGTCAGTACACCCTCTGCCATCCCTTGTAATATATGTATGTTGGCCTTTGCCAGAGTGCATGGTGTGGAGACCTCAGGAACTGGAGCTAAATCTACTGCCCACAGGATGTTCCAAGTGCACTTTCCCATTGGCCTATGCCTTTCTTGCATTTCCTATGTTCACTTTTATCTGTCTTCCTCTCTTTCCTGTAACTATTTTTTTTTCTTTTTTTCTCTTACCCAAACAAATGGCTAAACACTTGTAAAGGAACTAACAAAGGCAATGTGTGCTCAAGGACTAAAGACTATAGTTGAAATCAATTAAATACCATGAGAGGCTGTGAAATAAATCATATGAAACTGTAATTATACGAAGACATAAAAGTTGACATGTTGCAAGCAAAGAAATGGGCACTGATCAATATTCTGCCCACTAACAATGTATGTCTGTCACGTAAAGATGATCTCACTTATCAAACTAACATTTCATCCATCTACCAGTTTAATTACCAGTTGCAATCTACATCAATTCATTCTTGCACCTTACAATCTTGTACCTTAATCAATCCATATCTATCAATTTATTTTTTATTCATCTGCCTACCCACCTGTTTTGTTTGTTTTATTAATCTAGCTATCCATCCAATTTAACCTATTGATCTACTCATTATTCAATCAATTTATCAATACATTTCCTATTCATCTGTTTCTTCATTGCCCCATTCACCATCTATCTTTCACTTGCCAGCCCACCCTCTACCAAAATCTCCGCTTACTACCACCTGGCATAAACTTCCCCATGACAAACACCTAAATACAATCAATAAGATACATTTCACCCAATCAAGTCTTGACATCAATCAGCAACTCAAATCAAAATCAGTAAAAATAACATTACAAAAAAAAACAATCCAAAAAAAGAAAATAAATCCAATTTAATAAAACATAACATTAACGTAAATAACCGACATAAAGGCCTAAGAGACAAAATCACAAGAACCTTAAAAAACAAGCCCAAAGACAGTAAGACCCCAATGACTAACGACCACAACAACAACATAAACCCTAAGAACGTGCCATAATAACGGAGAACAAGACGAGGTGACCAACAGGAGCCCCAGAGCCAGGCCCACCACCCAACCACCTGAAGATCCCCAACCAACACCTGGTTACATAGGCCTATAAAAACCTGCCTTGTTGGGGCTTTTTCTGCTATTGAAAGGTACATTGATGACTTTATAACCAGAGCAGATGATGGTACTAATTACAGAGCAGCAAATGACATCAATTTTAATGATGGTGTTTTGTGAGTTACCTTGACATAATTACTGTACTGTCCAAATTATCCTTTCACTTCCAAAAGGCTAATGTGGTTTTCAGCCGCCTAATTATTCAGCAACGGCAAGAAATCGGGAATAAATTGAATTACTATTCTAATTATGGTAATCAGATGATGAAATTGTTAATCAGAAATTTCCTGTTTCTAAGATCACAACAGTAAACTACAAGAAAGACCCTCATACATTAAGTTAACTAATAAGAATGATGTAAGAAAAAGGAAAAAAACAGAGGAATTGATATTTACAGAAAATAAATTTTAAAAAAATAAAAATAAAAAACCTCTAAAATATCATGACCTTTTTTTTTTTTAATGCAAACCTCATTAAAACTATTTCTTCACATGTCGATACTCACGGGAAAAGCGCGGATACGCATTTTCTGGTGCTCTTTCTTGTTTCCTGACTTGAGCGAACTCATATTCACGAATTTCCGACCCGTTTCTCTCCAGGAAATAGAAATAGAAATAGAAATAGAAACCTCGGACACTTTTCCTTCCCGGAGACCTCGGCTTCATCAAAACATCCCTCTTCAACAACCTCCTGTCGCGATACGGAGCGCCATTCTCTCTCCTCTCATATCTCCACGAACCGACACAGATCTCAAGTTCACGTCGAGGCTAGAGTCATTCTCGTAAAGATCGCGACGAAGGAGCATTAATGGCGTTTTTTCCCTGGAAGGCGACCCTACAGAAGCAAACAATGGGCGGCCATGATTGTTGACACACTGCTCTCCCTGCGCCGCGCAAAGTAGTTCCTGGGCTATTTCAACAAATTCACTCTAGTTGGATATCAGCTTTCCTTCAAAGTATTCGAAATTTAATTTACTTTTTCCCCATAGGGTTAATTTGCGTATCCTATATCCTTTCGGGTGATTCTCGAATCATGTATGGCGAAGGAATATACTCATGACATCACGGAGACCATGACGTCATCAACCGCTCTGACGTCACAACCGAGTGTGACGTCACGAGGTAAACATGGCCGGCCAGACGCTGAGACTCGCGACGGCCTCCCTGCTCAGGAATTATGGCGCCCTGCCCGCCCTCGGCCCTAACACCTCGGCCCTCCGCCACTGCTCCATCGCCCAGACCATCAAGGTTCGGGATGAGATCAGGAGGAAGCGCTCGGAGGCTCTGCTCGGCGGCGGCAGGAAGAGGATCGAGGCGCAGCACAAGAAGGTGCGAGTCTTGCCGGGGATTCCCTCACGATTCTGTTGTTTTCTTGGTTTTATGGTCATGGTCATCGGGGTTTCTTGAGGGTTTAGTTGACTACTTCGCGAGCTAGATTGTTTTGGCCGGTTTCGTATGGAGTGAGAAGGTTTTTTAGGAAACTTGAGCTGAGTTTGTTATTTTCTCTCAGGTATTCTTGAGTAATCAAGTTGTTAAAGGGATAACTGAATAAGGCCTTTCTGTTCACATGTAAATTAAGACAGTGAAAGAAAGCAAAAGTTTCTGTATCAGTATAGTTGCATATAGTGATTTTATAAAAGTGAAGAGACAAAGTTAATGTAGATGAAAAATACCATGTTAACCCCTTGGTGCTGGGTATGACGTGTACGTACGTGCTATGCCTACCGTGAGTACTTGTTTGATTGTTTTTATGCATAGATGGCAACACTTGTACTGACTCCCCAATGAGCCAGTTACGAGCACCGCCCGTCTCGCCCGTTTACCCGTTTCTTTGATTTACAAAATATTTTACGTTATCTTATTTTGCTGTTACTAATGTTAAAAAACATCATAAAAATTATAATGTTTATGATAAAAATAACACCATCGATTTTCATAGCACTAGTGAAAAATATGTTTTTCCCGCCATTTCAAATCAGGCACTAGCAGAGCCATCTATCGGCAGACATTTCACGAAAAACATAGAAAGTGGGCATAGCATTTTCCCCATTTTTGTTCATTTTCCCCGGCACCAATGGGTTAATACACTAACAATAGAGTGACTACATTGATGGTAACGTTTCAAGCAGTTCCGGAACCATTCTGAATAACAGTACTTGACCAATTTTGAAATTGGTCATGTTTAGTCAAATTTTAGCTTGAGCAAATTATTTTTGCGGAGTTGAAATTTGTACTTGTAGCATTGGATTTATGACATCAAGTTAATGCGTAAGCACTGATATTAGAATAATAATATGGATAAGATAAAAGGAGGGAGGAGTATGGTAAAGTTTTGGCATCTGATGAACAGTGCCTAGAATGTACCTTTTCTATTTTTCATAAAGTAAAACTATTTCAGCAATTAGTAATACCATTCCATTACCATTTTAAAATATCCATAAAGATCAATATGTTAGTATTTAATGCAAGAAAGACATGCTGACTCCATAAACTTTCAGATGCTTATAATACTCTTAGTCTATAGAAAATCTTTCGCATGACAATTTGTATATAGTTTTTTTGTATGTGGATTTATTATAAAACAGATGATAGAGCTAAAAGAGAGTAGTAAGGACTGCTTAAAAAAAAAGTATCATTTTTACAGGGAAAGCTAACAGCAAGGGAAAGAGTTGAGCTGCTATGTGACCCCGGCAGCTTCACGGAGTTCGACATGTTTGCCGAGCATACTTGCACAGATTTTGGGATGGAGAACCAGAAGGTAAGCTCATTGGGAGTCAGACTCCTTTTTCCCAATTATGAAAGTGAGATTAGACAGCAAAAAAGGTTAATCCTTTCATTTATACCACATGACACACCATAAAATGCATATAGCATATACAAAGACAAACATGTCATTACTCATGCCCATTCCCCCCCCACACACACACACACACACACACACACTTACATCCATACTCACAGCCACTTATATATATATATATATATATATATATATATATGCATTAA